AACAAACACTCTGTGAGGTGAGTGAGGCTGAGAACCTTCACAGAAGTGTGACTGGCCCAAGGTCACCCAGCAGCTGCATGTGGGGCTGGGGGCGGGGAAGCAAACCTGGTTCACCGGATTACAAGTCTACCGCTCTTAACCACTACACTACACTGGCAATGGCACCTTTCCTCCTGTGCCAAATATTCTTTTCAGGTGGCAACTTTCATTGGGACTACAGCATAGGGCAAAAGTTAAACCTCTTCCCTATGCTTCACGGTCCTGCTACACTTAAAAGGAAAAAAAGTCATGTAAGGACAAGTTATGTGATTAATTATGTAGCATGGAGTTTGGCCTTGAGAGAAAATTGGGTCAGTTTTAAGCCAGAAAGAAACAGCCAAAGTGAAGCTGTAGTATAAAAATGAACAGAACTCTCAATACCACAATATGCTTCCCCTGTTCCCCAAACACAGGCACATTCGGCCCCATATAACACAGCATGAAAAAACATACACATGGAGCTCCCCCCTTTTAAATAACTTTTTGGGATCTTATAAACAAGGATCATAGCAATAATAAATGACACAAATAAAGAGAGCAAGTCTTTTCATGTCATTTGCACATCGTAAGAATAGCTATTAGTGGGCAATGTATAAGTTCCTGGTTTGTGAACTGGTTTAAACAAAAACAAAGGGGAAACAGAGTTAACAGATAACATTCAAGATCACATAGCTAAACACCTAATTAGGAGCCCTTGTGATTGTGCTTAGATTAAGTATGAGTAATAGTCATTTTCCCTCTTATGTTACCAATGAAACGGTATATACACATGGAGCTTTCTGAAGCCTATCCTATTCTGGTGTAATATTTGATTCTCACATGGTAACTTTATGAAACACTCATGAGCATATATACATGTGGGAAATTCATGTACATTTTCTCTGAGTAGGACTCATGGGGAACCTGAGATCCTGTTTATGGAACAATAACCACAGAATTATGTAAACCAGAACAAAACATAATTCTTCTACATCACGGGCTCACCTAAAAAAAAATAATCACATTGCAGACAACAAACATTAATTTAGTATCATATTTTTGTTCCCTTATAAATTTGCACCTGTGTAAAACTACTGTACAAACAGGCATGCTGCCAACCTCCTTGCTTAGAGAAACTGAGATGAAGACAGACAGTTTAAGGTGTCGTGGAAGTAGTCTGAATAAACATGGATACCTGGAGTTAGGGGAGGAAAGATATCACAGCAGGCAGCAGCTTTGCCCCCTCTCATTTAAAAAGCCAAGCACTGCCTTGACTGTCAGCTCTCTTCCTGGCAAAGTCCAGAGTCAGATGTGAGAGAAGGACAGGGAGGGGGTGGGGATGGAGATTCAGAGCTATATACTGCAACCCATCTCTACTGCTGCTTCCTACCACCCAGTGCACAGACAGTGAGACATCTTTAGTTACAAATGGCTCCCTTGGGCACAGTAAAAATTAATCCAGCTTTTCTTGTCTTTAAGAAAAACATGGGCGTAAAATGAGATTGAAGCCTCTAAGGGGGGGGGGGGGAAGGCAGCCGGTGATGAGACATGCTAATCCAAAGACTGTTTAATTGCTCAAGCACTCTAGTAGACTTTAGGCAAGGGGTGGGGAAGTTAACCACAGACGTCTCAGTCTAGGTGCCTAAGAGCAGATAAGCATGGAATGGTAATTAGCTTAACAGAGACGAGAGGAATGAAACCCCCCCCCCCCCAATTTTTCTCCCTAAATAACTATGGCCCATGCTGTTAATGACAGGGTGTGTGTCTTTGCACACACATGTGCATGTACCCATCGTGGACAACTCGTCCACTTCTTAAGAGACACTTATTTTCTCAACATTTATTGATAGCCAAAGCGATTCTATGTTCTTATCCTCCTGGGATCCCTCGCACTGCCACCAGCAAAGACAGAAACACGGCAATAGCATGAGAAGCAAAAGCTCACGCAGCGAGACCAGCAGTCACTCCACAGCACCCTGACAACTCTTGGAGGCAAGTAGCTCACGGAGAGAGAGCTACATAGCTCCTGATATTTGCAGGAAGGGCTGGGAAAGGCCACCGTATGGAATCTTTTAGAGCTGCTGCCAGCCTGTGGAGACAATGCGGAGCTAAATGAACCCACAGTCTGGCCCAGCATAAGGCAGTTACTTTGTGCCACCATCAACTGCCAATTGTGACGTTGTTTGCCAATGGTGCCCCAATATTAGCCATGCACAGAAGACAAGAATGCAATGGTTGCTTCCTGAAGCAAGCACATCCCTTCTTCCAGAGGCAATGCACACAGCCATGCTCACAGGAACAGAGGACAATGCTTCCCATATAATGCATGCACATAGAGGATTCCCAGAAGTCCTGCTGGGGTACCAATGATTCCACACAGCCAATGCCAACAATACTGCACATAACACATTTGTACTGGGTTTGAGTGAGAGAGGAAATCTTTACTGAAGGGAGGAAGGACAGTGCTGCATAATGGTTAGAGAGTTGGTTTATGACCTGGGAGGCCAGGGTTTGAACCCCCGCTCAGCCATGAAGCTCACTGAGCAACCTTGGACCAGTCACCATCTCTCAGCCTTACCTACTTCACAGGGTTGTTGTGAGGATAAAACGGAAGGGGGAAAGAACCAAATGCAGCACCTTGAGCTCCTTGGGAGAAAAGGTGGTATATAAATGTAATAAATAAGGCATGATGGACAGTAACAAAAGCAGAGTCATGGGAGGTAATATATTGCCTGGTAACTTAGTGGGAAAGAGCAATGCAATAGGAAACAGAGATGTGGGTGCAACTTTAGAGAGAGAGAAATGTGTCTATCCCAGGACAAAGCTTAACTTCCTGGGGCTCTAATGGCAACAATAATTTTAGGTGGAAACATGGAGAGGGAGCAGGACAAAAACTCAAAGAGCAACAGCTTAGCCATACAACCAACCGCTAACATCTCTGCGCTTGTCCAGAGGCCACGTCCACGAGTACACACCACCTGTCACCCGCCATCTTACCTGTGCATGGAACCAAGAGATTCCAGACCTGTAGTCCAATACCAAAGGAACCCTAACTGGAGCCATGGATAAGTGGAAAAACACAGTGGAAAAGCACAATCTTCTTTTACATGAAGATTGGGGTTCAACCTTTGGTTAAAATCTCACAGGACAAAGTTCTGGGACATGTATTCACACCAAAAAGAGTGAAATGTGATAGGCAACCAGAGTGTCTGGTACATAAACAAATATCCCAAGGTAACCATCTGACTCGTCTGTGTCACAGGAAACCTTTCACTTTGCTAGCCTCCTTCATTCTATTCTGCAACATGCACTTGTTGGGATGACTGCCTGTGCCTGCCTTTCATTTTCCTAGGACATATTGTTATCCACACAACATTCCCCATCCAACCAGCTGCATTGGTTCATCTACATCTGAACAGTATCTGGAGGCAGGGGGTGAGAGATGTCAGCACTGTGCTACTAAGACCTCCATTTTCCCTTGCTAGTGTCCCACTGGGAAGGCGATAGGCAGGCTCCTGATCCCTGGTGAAGTGCCGTGGTAGAAGATTAAAGATACTGTTTCCTATTAGTGCGTCCCATCCTGAGGTGAGAAACATGCAGGTTTCCCATCAGTTAATGAGAACAGAGGCACAGCTAAAGTGGTCACAAGTTTTATTGAAGAACATTGGTTCTGTAGTCTGATTTGGCATCATCACAGAAGAATGGAGGGTTGGCATCCTTCTGTATCTTGCAAGGCCCCAATGCCTTTGGAAGCTGCATGGCAGACAGTAGAGTGAACTGACATACCTCTCTCCATCACAGCATCTCTACCCTGGGCAATGCAGCAGTTTATACATTACTGTGCATTGTACACTTTGGAAAGGCACAGGGGCCCTACTAGAACTAAAAATATGGTAGCCCCACAGAGAAATTTCTTACTGGTTACTGCTGCTGTAGGTTTTGTCTGCCTAGCACAGGGAATCTGCCTCTTGAGTGTGTTGAATAGCTGCCATGTCGCCTGCAGAGAGACAAGAGACTTGAGGATGGTAACAGGCATTAAATTCAAGTAACCATGTGCTACTTTGGGACTGTAAAATGAATAAAGGAGGAGAAAATATCACCCTAGGTACTGTTCATGCCTCACTCTGGTCTCCCCAATTTTCCATTGGCAATCCACTTGATAACTGCATCTGGATGTTCACTTCTCAGGGCAGACAATATTCAACCATCCACTGCAGGGAGATGCAATGAAGTGCCACCTGTAATTTCTGTTTTCTGTGCTCATGTGTCCTGCAAAGAAAAACAAGCTGTGTTTGGCCAGCAGTAGGCAAGAGGCCAAGCAAGAGTGCCTTGTATTCACCAGCAGAGGTAACTATATTTCCCATTGCCCTCTCCAGAGCACGGAAGGCATCCCCTTGCATTTAGGGAATTTAGGAGGAGGGATGAAGGAGATGCAGGTGTCAAGCTTTAAAGCAAGGACCCTGTCCTCCAGGTGAGTCCTCCCTCACTTGCTTACCTGCATGGGGTGCCTTGTCCCAAATGCTGGGGTGGAGGGAAGGATCTTGGTGGATGTTTGTGTGCAGATTCCCAGGAGACAGAGTACCTGTAAGGGCTCTGAGAAGACAAGCGTTATTCATCTGACCTTCCTATATCTGTTGCTAGCCTCAAGGTCTGTGCAAGTACCCATCTGGTAAAGCTTTGTGAGAACAGTACTGTACTGTATTATAGACACATGGGCACAGTGGTGTATCCCTGTGCTGTCTTAATGTATTAGCAATGCTTCCTTGCTAGAGTTTATCTAGTCCTGCTAATATGCCACAATTGTTTGCAGAGTTAGTTAGAATCCTCCCCTCCATTATGGCTAAGGTGGTGGAGGAGTAACTGTTTGGAGCTCTTGAGTGACTTGGGTGTTTTTAAATTCACAACACCACTTTCACAGGTATTGTGCTTCACTGTCATCAGGTAAACCCTTGTGAGCACATGATCCCAATTAACTTCTACTTGACTGCATGGCTCAGAGGTGAGAGCACTGGTCTTGTAAACCAGGGGTCACAAGTTTGATCCTTGGCTGGGGGCTCCATGTTTCTCCTCAAAACAGCCATTACAGGAGCATCTGAAGGACTACCTTGCCCTGAGGAGGGGAGAAGAAGCAGTAACAGCTCCTTCTGCACAAACATGTTGTCTTACCCATTCTATTGTGACTTTTTAAAAGCATTGCTTATTGTTTTAATAATCTTTTGTAAACCATTTTGTGAGGTCTGCCCGAAAAGTGGTATATAAATACTGCAAATAAATACCACTGCAAAGCCCCCGAACTCCACTCAGTTTCCTTCAGCTAACAGTGTTTTGGGGTCAATGCAGAGTCCTTGTTTGTGCATCTGTGGCCTCTGCCAATGCTAAGAGACTTTGGAGTGACCTTATTCACATCTAGCTAGTGTAAACTGGAAACAGGACCGCATACTTTATCAGGTATTTCTAGCAGTGTGTGAATCAAAACCAGACTGTCTTTAATGATCCCCGCCCCATATCTTTCATCATAATTGTTTAACTACATTAAGAATACATATCACATACACAATAATAATGTAATTTTAGACTGACATGAAGCTAAATCTCTTCCTTTCTCAATATTCAACCATATTCAGTTTTCTAAAATGCGAGGTGTTGTGGGACACAAACCTGCTGCCATGACCACTTGCAATGAGCCCAGACTTGAGCAGATACCCTTGAGCAGTGGAATGCCAGTGATTAAGCAAGCACAATTGATAGGGATTTGCCTAGACACTGACATGAGTCCCATTGCAAACACAGGCAGGCATAATTGGAAATGTCACCGCATGTTCAAGACTACAGGCAGCACAAACAGGGTGGGAAAGAATAGTACAAGCAGGGTATGCACAAAAAGAGACAGCAAAATCAACAAAAAGAAGGGGTTCTTATTAAGGGTCTGCTGGAACAAAGAAGCCACAGGTTTTGCTCATCAGAAGTGGATCCAGCAGAGATAAATCAATGGACAAAAAGCAACTAGGGCAAATGTGCTCAGTATTAACGCATAGCTATAGGGCAGCCTGTCATCTCCGCAAGCTTCATACCTACCAGCCATTCCTAATAATCCCCACTTAAAAGCATCCAGTAATAGCCTTTACTTCTCTATTTTCCACAAATCGAATTATCCCAGATTGATTTGCTTAGTAAACCATTGGCAATTTTATTTACTTCTGTTAATTGCTTTGACTTATTTTTATTATATGGATTGAGCTAAACCACATTAGGAGGATGGTCTTTTTAATTCTGCTAATAGCATCTAAACCCTCAAAAGGATTATTTTCTGTGGCTCTGCTGGTGAAATAACATTGACCAGCTGGATAGATGGAATTCTCAGCAGTGTTCAAGGGTAGTACTCAGAGCTCCAAACTTTTGCTTAAAAAAAACATGAATTTTGCAAACTGATAAATGGTGGGCTATTTGCACTGACACAAGAAAAGGGCGGGGGATAGAGAAGCTGCCTTTTTCTACGCAATGAAAAACAATAAAAGTTACCTTATCAATATCTGGGAGAATTGCTAGGATCCCTGCCCTTCTTCCAAGGAGCTCAGTGTGGTGGCAAATGGGTATTGTCCAATTTTATCCATTTTGAGATGAGTGAAGCTGAGAGGTGGGCTGCCCAGTGAGCTTCCTGACTTAAGTAGGCATGTCTACTCAGAAGTAAGTGCTAGGTGTGTACAAGAGTGCACCATGAATGGGAATTTGAACCCATTCATGCTCAGCACTCCATGCACTACAACATATAGGTCATACCCTAGGCCAGGAAGTGTAACACCAGCAGTCTCAGTCCTGGAAAATGTTTCTGCATTCTGTGCTCAGTGGTAGAGTGTCTGACTCGCATGCAGAAGGGCCCAGGTTCAATCCCTGGCATCTCCAGGTAGGGCTGTGAGAGACCCCTCCCTGCAACACCGGAGAGCTGCTGCCAGTCAGTGTAGGAAATACCAAATGAGATGGACCATGGTGTGACTCATAATAAAGTTGCTTCCTCTGTTCCATTTGTTGATTGGCTATTCATGCAGAAAATTAATTTCATCATGCACGAGGACACAGTTGAAACTTTTAAGCACATAAAGCAGGGGTGCAGATTGAAGCCTCTTCCACCACACAGCCAAGTATAGCTGTCTATTTCATGCCAACTCCTTTTGGACCAAGTACTCTGGTGATCCTCCTCACCCATTAGCACCTCATTTGTTATCACTGTCACCCAGCCACACTGACTCTTTGTTGCTTTGAGCTCACCCCCCCATCCCATCCCATTTTCCTGTTGATCACTGTTGACATTAACCCTGCATCCACAACTCCCCCTCCTTCCAGGCTGAGTTGCACAGACCCAGACACACACCTCCCCCCACCCCACCCCACCCCACCCCAACCATTTTGGCAAAGCAAATTTCTCCTCCTTATTGGTATTCGGCAAATCACTCTCAGCACCGGAGCCTCTTGCCTTCTTCCCACAGAAGGGTCTTTTGTCAGTTATGCCATTTAAGCACACACACTCCCCTCCCCAGCGCTGTGGGATTGTGGTAGAGAATTGCAAATGGTAAACCCTGACATGTCTGGTGACAAGACTTGCCCCTTCACCAGGGGGGAAAGCATAAAGGCAGGACAACTCTCACCTCACAGGAAGCACTTTGCAGGAATGTTACATCCAAGAAAAAGAAAACAGGTCAGGTCCAAACCAGCACCAAATCAACAGGTTGTCACTGTTCAACTGGGGGTTGAAATGCCTATTCACTGCATTCCTGATGGCATGAGATAGCTCAGCTAGTTAAAGAGTGGTTGCAGATTCTATCACCATTTGGGAAAGTTGCATATTCCTGCACTGCAGGGGGTTAGACTAGATCAGCGGTTCTCAACCTGTGGGTCCCCAGATGTTGTTGGACTACAACTCCCATCATCCCTGAGCTCTGGCCTTGGTAGCTGGGGTGATGGGAGTTGTAGTTCAACAACATCTGGGAACCCACAGGTTGAGAAATGCTGGACTAGATGATCCTCAATATCCCTTCCAACTTTACAATTCTGTGATTCTACAATTCTAAAATGGGAAGTAGTCATTAGTCTTATGAGGAGCAGTTGAGGGAGCTGGGTATATTTAGCCTGGTAAAAATGAGACTGAGAGGAGATATGATAGCCACCTTCAGAAATCTAAAAGGCTGTCACATGGAAGATGGAGCAAACTTGGATTCAAGTTACAGGAAAGGGGATTCCGACTAAACACCCGGAAGAAACTTTCTGATGGTAAGAGATGCTTAATAGTGGAGCAGACTTCCTCAGGTGGTGGTGACCTCTTCTTCCTTGGAGGCTTTTAAGCAGAGGCTGGATGCTTTAGGTGAGATCTCTGCATTGCAGGGGACTTGACTAGAAGATCCTCAGGGTCCCTTCCAACTCTACACTTCCATGATTCTATTACAGTGGTACCTCTGGTTACAGATGCTTCAGGTTACAGATGCTTTAGGTTACAGACTCCGCTAACCCAGAAATAGTACCTCGGGTTAAGAACTTTGCTTCAGGATGAGAACAGAAATTGTGCGGCGGCAGCAGCGGTGGCCCCATTAGCTAAAGTGGTACCTCAGGTTAAGAACAGTGTCAGATTAAGAACGGACCTCCGGAACGAATTAAGTTCTTAACCTGAGGTACCACTGTATTAATTTATCTCTAAGAGCTCACAAAGAACATAGCTATGATAGCATGCTTATATATTATATTATTTATTATATCCTACTTTATCCCTTAATTCAAAGTATCTTGGACCCAGTGGGTTGTGTTGTTGTTGTTTAAAAAAAGGAAACTCGGTGTAGATTTGATTGCTCCGACAACACATAAAATGACTGACACCTGCTGCTTCCACAGATGGTCCTGATTTGCGGCACTACATGGAACACACTGCTGGGGGTCTGTTCCAAGTTTGGAAGATGCTCATTGCCTCTTCAAACATACATATTTGCAACCAGGAGAGAAACTATGCATCTCCAGCAAGTACTGAGGGGTGTGGGGGGACGGGACGGACATGCACTGCATCTATCCTAAGTCAGTAAGTCAAAATCTGCAAATTAGGTCAGTTTGTATGACACTGTAGAAAGCCCTAAACATGCATTGTCAAAATGCAAATAGCCTTTGTTGATAACTTTGTTAATAACCAGGATGGCCAGCAAGATACTGTCTCTTCATCTATTACCTCTTTATTGCCTAGAAGACATTTCATACGTGTGCTATGGAAACTGTATGCCAAAAGAGGATTTGTTATGAGAAGTGATGGAACTGGAGATTAATGGAAAGAGATTCTTAGACTGCTTCCTGAATGAAAGTTGGCAAGAGAATCATCACCATATATCCCATGCTGTTGTTTTTAGTTGAAAGCAGTTGTGGTATTTGGGGGTGGGGAGGCATCAACAGATATAAGATACCTGCCTATTTTTTCCTGCAGAAATGAGGAGATGGGGTTTGAGGCAATCTGCCATTCAGAAGAAGAAGAAGAGGAGTTTGGATTTGATATCCCGCCTTTCACTCCCTTTAAGGAGTCTCAAAGCGGCTAACATTCTCCTTTCCCTTCCTCCCCCACAACAAACACTCTGTGAGGTGAGTGGGGCTGAGAGACTTCAAAGAAGTGTGACTGGCCCAAGGTCACCCAGCAGCTGCATGTGGAGGAGCGGAGACGCGAACCTGGTTCCCCAGATTACGAGACTACCGCTCTTAACCACTACACCACACTGGCTCTTCATTCAGGAACTGACCAGACCTGCTTAGCTTCAGAAAAGTGGCTATATTGCCATGTGTCCCCAATTCTACGATAAAACTATATCCTCTTAATGGAACTGGTGGTTCAGACATTTGGCATTCATAATACTATTGAGTGGCTATAGGCTAAACCAATTGAAATGGCAGCCCAGTGACATTTATAGGCTTAGTTAACCAGGTTTCCTATTTGCTTCCTTTAAAAGGAACTCATTCTGATCACGATAGCGACAAATTGTATGGATTCCAGAACAATAATCTTAGAAGTCACACAGCAGACTGGGTTTGTTTGTTTTTAAAGTAAAAGAATAAAAAGGAGTCACAGGCGGCTGCAATCTTCAGTGAAGATACAGCAAGGGGAGGGAATGCTTCACCCTCTGCCCTCCAGCCATTTTCCCCATTCAAAATTACCTCTCCTGTGATGAAAAGAGGTCTCTATGTCCTTTCCCCATAGGTGGCAAAGCTGCTGAGGGAGGGTGAATCTTGAGCAGAGGGAGAAAAGATTAAGCAGACCCCACCTTGCCAGTCCTTCACTCGAACATGAAGCCTCGATGGTTGATATATCTATAGCTATATCCATTCTGTCTACCTATCTCAGAGAAAGTGACTGTTACGCAAGTTTGTGGTGTAATGTCTAGTTTGATCCTTATTTGGAAGACTGTGAATGTGGACAGGAGTGCTGTGAGTGTCCACAGAGATGGAGGCACGGCATTGTCATTCACATGGTGTGGACGAAAACAGTAATGCTGCCTTGTATAGAGTAGCTGGATAAAACAGCTGTAGAGTCAAGAGAGCAAGGAGACAGACGATCATACTCTGTGGCCAGGCCGGCAAGGAATAACAAGCAACTTGTATCTTGAAACCTACATTGTTTTATCTCCACCATTTTCTCTCCCTGTCACCACTTTTGCCTATCTTTCGGACATCACTGTGGGTCACCAACTATATGCATAGCAAGGAGGAGAGCGATGGAAACGTATTTGGCTGCATGATTGCCAAGGTCACCTTCCCGCCTTGGTAATTTTCCTTGATGGGAAACAAGATTCATTTTTAACAGCTCTTCATTTTCACAGTGACACTGCCCTCCTGCTAGTGTGAGACTGGGGGGAAGTGGGGGAGGCCTGGCCCTTTGTTCCTCCGTCCAGTGCTGACAGTTTAATTAAACCCCATTTGAGGCAGGGTCAGCAAGGTCAGGTGCTCTCCAGCAAAATATCAACTAAGCACCATTTTCAGGCACCAAGGCTACTTAATGAGATACTCTCCAGAGGACAAAGAGCATAGGTTTAAGGACACCTTTGGTAAATCACCACCTCTCAGCCTAACCTATCTCACAGGTTTCCTGTGGGGACAAAATACGGTAGACCTATATATGCCATCTTAAAGGGAATGAGGGACCTAAATCAAAACAACTACACCACACATAAACCATGAAGATAGTCAGTGATGCAACAGCAGTTAGGAAAGAGCAACTTCGGGAGAGGCAGCCATGATAGTCTGAGGCATGGAAAACGACAAGTCTTTATAGTGCTATAGGACTCTCTAGCAGTGTCCACACAACAGTTTAAAGTAGATTTGATGCACCCCACATGTCCATATCTTTTGCGTCATCCATACAACGTTGCTCTTATTCAAGTAGTAGTCCATACTCTCCCCACCCCACCCCACCCCATTTAATTTGGATTTTCCTAAGGAGGGAAATCCAACATAAAATTGCATGTTACCCAACTGTGGATGTATGGAAACACATTGTGTGGGTAGGGTGTTTTCCGTCACCTATCATCACACCCCCTGTTGGTGAGTCACTCCTTTGTAGGCTGTTGGTGGGGCTGGTCAGGACACACACCTATTTACTTTGTATTCTTTAACCCACTATTTTGTACCCATGATACCTGTGTGAATGGACCTCAGCTTTCCAGAACTCAGAGAGGGTGGGTTACTGGTGGGGCCAGGTCAGGCTGAACATACACATGCATACACAAAACAAAACAAAACAAAACAAAACTGTAACCCAGTATTTTGGGCAAGTCTGGTATGTTGGAAAACCTGTATCTCAAAAAAATAAATAAAAAATAAAGTATAGATGAAAACACATAAACAAATGCCTTCATGCATGCCCACAATGGACCTCAGGTTTTCAGAACTTA